GGAAATTCCATTGACAATAATAGCCCGCCATCTCGTGGCCATTGTGCGTCATTGCAGATGGAGGACCTGTTTCAAAAATTGGAAAGTTTACTGATAAAAAGAAAGTGTTGCTAATAAAAAGAAAAAAACTCAGGTTAGAACCAAACTACCTTGCTATTTTTTTTTTAATCTGCCAGAATGAACCCGAATTGAGCAATCTTGTCTGCTTCCAACAATCACTTTTTGCTATGTTTAATTAAGGAATTTTCAGTGTTGTAACTTTGAATAGTTGGAAATCTAGGATTATCTGTAATGTTTTTAAGCTCTTTCAATAAGGTCCTAAATTCTCTTCGTTCTGATTTTCTTTATATGTTATACAGAATACAGATTATTAACAGAGTCGGAAGGGACCTTGGAGGTCTTCTAGTCCAACTCCGATTTCCTCTCATGAATCCCTCAGTCCGAGAATTCCAGGAGGCCCTTAAAACCGCCTAAGTCCCAAACACCCCCCCAAAATATTAATTTATGCGTTCACTTTGAAAGAGAGACCTAAAACGCTCCCTTTGGTTCTGTGATCTTCACCCAAATTTGTTTGCTTGAGCTGGTAATTTGAGATTAAGAGCGGTGCCCCGTGGAAAAAAACACACCACGAATCCCCCCCCTTGTTTTATTCCAGGAATATTCAGGAAAAATAAAACCACAACTCACCGGTCAGTTCATAGGATCGGAGCAAAAAGGGGAAGAGAAATCAGTCACAGAAAGTTGTATAAGTTTGGAGTCATTAAATGGTTTACGGAGGAGGGAAGAAAAAAAAAGGAGAATTATGTACAAGATTAAACATTTGGGGCCCTTAAAACAGAGGCTGGTCTGGGAATCTATATAAAAGGATGTGTGTTTGTGTGTGTGTGTGTGTGTGTATTCCAGCATAATGCCTCGAGCAATTTCAACCAAACTTGGCACACAGATTACTTACTCTCTGGAAACAAGCACTGTGTACCCCTAACACCCCCTCAGGGCGTGTGTGTCTGTTAACATACAGCCTGTTGGGCCTTCAAATGGCTTCTACTGTACCGCCTTAAAATGGCTTCTACTGTACAGCGCTGTGGAGTTGCCATGGTAATGGCTTCACATTACTCCACAAGGTGGGGGAGGCCCTCTCTCTGGTAAGGGGGAAAATCCAACGTTACAAATTACATTTCTTCTGATTAATTGTCACTGAAATCAGGGTTTTCCCTTGTCTAAATACAGGATTAGGATAAATAAATACCGGGGCAATGCGGGGTTATTGGCTAGTATTAACTAAAGGGACCCCTGAGGAGTTATGGGGAAAAGAGAGCAGATTAAAACATGAGCAGCCTTAAAAATTCATTGTAAAAATTACTCCGTTCCACAGGTTTCTTTTAAAAAACAAGAAAAATCTATAAAAAGGGTAGGATTCAATCCAACGGCGTCCAGTCGCTGACTTCTTTGCAGTTTTTCAATCCAGCTGGATTTTAGGCAGTGGTTCTCCTACAGTCCAATTTATTTAAAATAAAAAATAAAGACCAGAGTCTTGGTTCGGCCCAGGAGGCCCGGATACGGTCCGATATCTGGATTTTGCAACTCCCTGGCCCTTGAAACACCTCCCGGTGCTCTGGCATCCAAGCGGGTTGAGACGGGACGCTCTTCTGTTGTCACACATCAGTCTCAATGCGCAGCCGTTCCAGGCGCTGCACGTTGCGTTCGACAGCGTTGCGGTTGGTGATCTCCTGGGCGCAGGCTTGCGGGAACCAGCCCTTCTCTCCGTCCCGCAGACGCTCCCCCAGATACCAGCCTGGGAGAAGATGGAGAAGGGATTAAGAGGTCATCCAAAAGTGTTTTTTGTTTTTCTTTAATGAGGCAACCGGACTTTCTTGTTTTTTTGTCTGAAGAGGTTTCACTTCTCATCCCAGAAGCTTCTTCAGTTCTTTGGTAGTTCTTTGAAGATATTTCGCTTCCCATCCAAGAAGCTCCTTTGGGTTCTTGGATAAGAAACAAACCATCTTCAAAGACAAAAGCACCTTGACCATGACCTGGAGGACTGAGTGTCTCCATAAACAGGTTAAAAAAAATATGAATTTTTGCTGAAGGATGTAGCAAGCCATTTAAATCATGGTTTGGAGGGGGCGAAGGATGTAACCTATCAAGCTAGCATCCCCTAATCTAGTTTTTCTCAACCTTGAGCAATGTGGACTTGAACTCCCAGAGTTCCTCAGCCAGCAAGCAGGGTGGGAGTTGAAGTCCACTTTGCTAGGGGATTCTGGGAGTTGATGCCTTCCTTCATCTTCTAAAGGTGAGTTTTAGAACTGGAGGGTCAGCCTGCACTGCATAACGGATAAAAAAAAATATTATTCTGGCTTTTGCAAAAAAAAGGGAACGAATGAATTCTGCCTGCATCACTGGGATCTTTCTCTAGCCACTCACCCTCTTCCTGGTTCAGGATAAGGACGACGTCGGATTGCTGGAGCGAAATCTCATCCGCCTGCTTAGCCAGATAGGCTCTGGTGATCTCTACCTGTTGGAGTGCTGGCCAAAAAGAGAGAAAACACGCTCAAGCCAATGCCAGACAATATAATAATATATATATATTTTTTAAAAAAAATGTATGCCAAAAACTCTGAGAGGCACAGCTTGTTTTTTTAATAAAGACTCACTAGTGGAAGATACACTCGTAGCATTAAATCAAGATGTGGAATATAGAAGATAGAATAATAGAGATGGAAGGGACCTTGGAGGTCTTCTAGCTCAACCCCCTGCTCAAGAAGGAGACCTTTTCAATCAATCAATCAATCAATCAATCAGGATAGAGCTGGAAGGGATTTTGGAGGTCTTCTAGGTCTTAAAAGCCTCCAGTGAGGGAGCACCCATAACTTCTAGTGACAAGCTGTTCCACTGGTTAATTGTTGTCACTATTAGGAAATTTCTCCTTAATTCTAGGTTGCTTCTCAACTTGGCTGTTTCTTGTCCTGCCTTCTGGGGCTTTGGAGAATAAGTTGACCCACGCCTCTTCTTTGGGGCAGCCCCTGAGATATGTCACTCAGAAGTTGTCGGTGCTAAGGAGAAACATCCTAACAGTGACAACAATTAACCACTGGAACAGCTCGCCACTAGACCTTGTAGGTGCTCCATCACTGGTGGCTTTTAAGAAGAGACTGGACAGCCGTTGGTCTGAAATGGTCTAGGGTCTCCTGCTTGAGCAGGGGGTTGGACTAGAAGACCTCCAAGGTCCCTTCCAGCTCTATTCTGATTGATTGATATGTTTGAGCAGGGGGCTGGACTAGAAGACCTCTGAGGTCCTTGCCAGCTGTATTCTTATTCTGAAAAGCATCAGCATCTACATCTGCAACTACATCTATCTCCATCCATCCATCCATCCATCCCTCTCTTCTATCTATCTATCTATCTATCTATCTATCTATCTATCTATCTATCT